CGAGGGGGGTGGAGGGTGATGTGGGGACAGGGACACATATGTAATATCTTAATCAATAAAAAATATATTAAAAAAAAAGAATGTACCAGAGGGGATAAACTATAATTGTTATAATCAGCAGAGGTTTGTCAAGTACTCTAGAGATGTTATCAAGAGAATGACTCGGGGAAACCAATTAGTCCTAGATATGATTTTAGCAGGAAAGGGCAGAGTATGTGTAATGACAGGAGGTCAATGCTATACTTTCATACCTAACAATACAGCACCTGATGGCATCATAACCAAAGCCCTTCACAGTTTAACAACCTTAGCCAATGAATTAGCAGAGAACTTGGGTATAGATGACTCCTTCTCTAGTCTAACGGAGCAGTGGTTTGGGAAATGGAAAGGAATAATGGCTTTGGCTTTAACCTCTCTTATTGTGGTAATTGGGGTAATGACAGTAATAGGATATTGCATTATTCCATGTATGAGAGATCTTATCCAAAGGTTGAGACTGCTTTGCCAAACAAACCCCAGTAACATACCAGCAGAATAATCTCCTCTTAGATACTACAGAACATGACAGTCAAAGACTGCTCGTTGAATTTGAAGAAAAAAGTCAAATAAAAAAAAGGGGTTATTATGAGAGTGAACTAGCGATCTTTTCTGTCAAAAAAAGAAGCTCCCGGCCATTTTAGGTTCCACCATTTTGATTTGCCTTTCAGATTCTCAGGGGTCTGCCATCTTGGGTTCTACCTTACCCTGCCCCTTCCTCTAAGTTAGCCAGTTGTGCAATAATGTGAATCCAAGCTCTGAGCTCTGACCAATCAAGTCAGAGTCAGAGTGAGGGGCAGTGCAGTTAGCATCAGGGAATAAAACCCAAACAAATTTCCCATTCGGTGTGCTTTGCCCATGATTTTTATCTGGCATGCGCCAATCTGCAGAAGTAAATTTGCCTTGCCAATCCAGTTTCAAGTGTTTGTCTCATTCCCGTGACACTGTTGATAAGCATTTCTAACACCTACAACTTCATATGTTACTTCTAATAGTTTTGTGGTGGAATCTTTAGGGTTTTTTTATATATAGTACTAGAGGCCTGATGCAAGAAATTTGTGCAAGGGGCTCAGCCCTCACAGCTCTGGCTGCCTCAGCCCTCATAGCCCTAGCTTCCTTGTGACCCTGGCAGCCTCGGGGCCCCGTGGCCCCATCCCCCATCCCCCATTCCTCATCCCCCATCCCCCGCTCCCTGCCCACTGGTCATTCTAAAAGGTCATTCCAGAAGGTTGTTTTGGAAGGTCATCCCAGAAGGTCATTCCACTGTCTTGTCTAATTAGCATATTAGTTCTTTATTATACAGGATGTCATCTGAAAGTAGTAACAATTTTACTTCTTTCTTTCCAATTTGAATGCCCTTTTTCCTGCCTTGTCATTGCTGTAGCTAGGACTTCCAATATCATGTTGAATAAATTTGTGAGACCAGGCATCCTGGTTTTGTTAAGTTATATTATATTTGGCTCAATATATTTAAAATATTACTATTTCAATGTAATATAAAATTATTAATTAAATAGTTTACATGTTTTCCACTGTTATAACCCAACCCACCATTTTTTAAACATTGTTTCTGTAAATGATGACCTGTTTCATATGTAACTGGAGATAAACAGGCTGTTTGCTTAAGAATTCAAGGAACTAACCTCAAAATAAGCATACCTCAACCTCCAAACATTCTGGCTCAAGAGATTTGCTGACCTTGAACCAGTTATCTGAACAGACTATGCTGACTTGCATGTGGTCCCCTCAGTGGAGGACTCCCACCCCCCTCCTTTTGATTTCTTTGTTCTGTTTTTTTTTCTCCTCCCTGCTCCTTACAGAAACCCCTGCCTGTGCCCAATTGTTAAGATGGCCTTTACATTGTTAATCTGCTATCTTTGCAGGGTGCAAGTTCTTGAATAAAGCTACCTTCCTTTCCCCATCCTTTTTCTCTTGATTACTGACTTTCAAGCAGCAGGCAGCCAAACTTAGGTTGAGTACCACTATCTTCAAAATATGTATATTTTTATATTTATGGCACAGTTCAATTTGTACTAGTCACATTTCAGTTGCTTAATGTCACATGAGGCTAGTGTTTTTTGTATTGGATTGTGCAGTATATATCATTTTTACCATGTTTTTATTATATCCACATAGCTTTTCTCTATATATGTTTACTCTCTCAAATCTTCTCCCAATATTTATCTGTGTCTTAACCTTTAGAAATTTTTTTTTTATTTTCTCTATATGTAAACATAGATAAAATTTCCAGGTCAGGAGCTTTTTTGTTTTAACAATTTTAATTCATATAAGACCTTAATATTGTCAAAATATTTCTTGTTGTATTAACAACTATGCCTTGTTAAAACCTAAAGCGTACTAAAAACAAGGACAGGAGCTACTCTACTTTTGGATTTAAATTTTTTGAAATAAAAATAAGCAGTTATTTGATGTGCTTAGAATTTGTAGCCATTATCTCTATATATAAAAGCCTAAGTGACCGAACAACTGGAACGACCAGAATGACCAGTCACTATGATGCACACTGATCACCAAGGGGCAGATGCTCAATGCAGGAGCTTCTCCCTGGTGGTCAGTGTGCTCTCACAGCAGGAGCACTGCACAGCTGACAGACCTGTCCTAGTAGCCCACTGGCCTGGTGGCAGCCACTGCCTCAATAGCCCTGCAGGTCCAATCTCCAGAGAATGGGCCAGGCATCGATGGACCAGTGCTACCAGCACAATCCCAACAGTGCTGCCAGCCTCCTGGAAGTCGGCCTCAGGCACCACAGCCACATCCCCTCCCTAGATGCTCTGCAAGGAAGAAAGGATCTAAAAGTGGCTGCCAGGTGGCTCCCCACAACTGGTGCGAACATCAGCGGGATGGATCCGGATCCTGGGCTGGCAAGGGCATCCCACTGCCCGCTTGGAGGGCCAATCATATTCCCCCCCCCTCCCCCCCCCCCCCAGCCTATTCATGCACAAATTTGTACACCAGGCCTCTAGTGTTAAAATATGAAAACAGGCTCGAAGGAGAATGACTTCCTGCGTGAGGTGCAGTTGTCGCATTTGTCGGGCCCAATGGTGGCTCCACTGCTTCACACGTGGTTGCCTGGAGATGCAGCCGTTTTGCCCTCTGGAGTCAAGACAGTTGCGTGCATCCAGGACAGGGATTTCAGATGTGCTTGAAATAGAGAATGATTTCTTCAACTCTCCGCCAAGAAAAACTGTTCAATTTGGTGGAATAGTTACAGAAGTCTTGCTGAACTACAAAATGGGTGAAACAAATGACTATGAGTTGTTGAAGAACCAGCTGTCAGATCCAGACATAAAGGATGACCAGATCACTAACTGGCTGTTAGAATTCCGCTCTTCTATCATGTACTTGACTAAAGACTTTGACCAGCTTATCAATATTCTCTTGAGATTGCAGTGGTTGAATAGAAGTCAGACAGTGCTGGAGGAGTATTTGGCTTTTCTTGGTAATCTGGTATCAGCACAGACTGTCTTCCTTAGACCATGTCTCAGCATGATTGCTTCTCATTTTGTACCTCCCCGAGTGGTCATTAAGGAAGGTGACATAGATGTTTCGGATTCTGATGACGAAGATGATAATCTTCCTGCAAATTTTAACACTTGTCACAGGGCCTTGTAAATAATAGCAAGATATGTCCCATCGATACCGTGGTTTCTAATGCCAACACTGGTAGAAAAATTTCCTTTTATTCAAAAATCAGAGAGAACATTGGAATGTTATGTTCATAACTTACTAAAGAAATGCTAAAAGGACTGGTGTAAAAAGAAGAAATAAAAAGCTCAGAAAGAAAACAGCCACTAAAAATAGAAATGGCTACAAACAAGTACCTTTCAATAATAACTTTAAACATTAATGGACTAAATGTTCCAATCAAAAGACATCGAGTGGCTGAATGGATAAAAAAAAATGACCCATACATTTACTGTCTATAAGAGACCCACCTCAGAAGAAGGGACTCACACAGACTGAGAGTGAAGCGATGGAAAAATATCTTTCAGGAGAATGGAAATGAAAAAAAAGCTGGGGTAGCAATACTTATATCGGACAAAATAGACCTCAAAGTGAAGGCGATACCAAGAGATAAGGGAGGCCACATCATAATACTAAAGGGATCAATACAACAAGAGGATATAACCCTGATAAACATATATAAACTCAATGCAGGAACACCCAAATACATAAAAAAAACTCCTGGAAGATATCAAGGGAGAGATCGACAACAATACAATCATAGTAGGGGACTTTAATACACCACTGACATCACCTGATAAATCCTCTCAACAAAAAATTGGCAAACAAACAGCAATCCTAAATGATTCACTAGATCAGATGGACTTAATAGACATCTTCAGAACATTTCACCCCAAAACCATGGAATATATGTTCTTCTCAAGTGCTCATGGGACATATTCAAAAATAGACCACATATTGGGTCACAAACAAAGCCTCCCCAAATTCAAGAAGATTGAAATCATACAAAGCATCTTCTCAGACCACAAGGGCATAATATTAGAAATACACTACAATAAAAACCACACAAAATACTCAAACACTTGGAAGCTGAATAGCATGTTATTAAATAATGATTGGGTTACCAATGAGATCAAAGAAGAAATTAAAAACAAAAAAAAAAAAAAAAAAAAACAAGTAGAATTGGTAGTAAATCATCTAACTACATCTCAAAGACTTAGAAAGAGAGCAACAAGAAAACCCCAGAGTGAGCAGAAGGAAGGAGATAATAAATATCAGAGGAGAAATAAATGACATAGAGAGCAAAAAAACAATACATAAAATCAATGAAACCATCATCAACAAGATTGATGAACCTCTAGCCAGGCTCACCAAGAAGCAAAGAGAGAAGACCCAAATAAACAAAATAAGAAATGATAGAGGCAAAATAACAACAGACCCCACAAAAATACAAATGATTGTTAAACAATACTGTGGACAACTCTACTCCTACAAACTAGACAACCTGGAGGAAATGGACATATTCCTAGAGAAATACAACATTCCAAAACTCAATCAGGAAGAATCTAAAAATCTCAAGAGGCCAATAACTATGGAAGAAATTGAAGCTTCCAGAAATTGAAAACAAGCTTCAGCAAACAAAAGCCCAGGACCAGATGGCTTCACTGGGGAGTTTTACCAAACATTCAAGGAAGAACTAAAACCTATCCTCCTCAGACTACTACAAAACATTCAAGAGAGAGGAACACTTCCAAGCTCATTCTTTGAAGCCAGCATCACCCTAATACCAAAAGCAGCTAAAAACAACACAATGAAAGAGAATTACAGGCCAATATCCCTCATGAAAATAGATGCCAAAATCCTCAACAAAATCTTAGCAAGTCAGATCGAGCAGTACATCAGAAAGATCATACACCATGACCAAGTAGGATTTATCCCAGGGATGCAAGGATGGTACAATATCCACAAATCAATAAAGGTGATAAATCATATAAACAAATTGAAAGAAAAAAAACACATAGTCATATCAATTGATGCAGAAAAATTGTTTGACAAAATTCAACACCCATTTCTGATAAAAACTCTCAGCAAGGTTTGAATAGAAGGATCATACCTCAAAATAATAAAAGCCATATATGACAAACCCACAGCCAACATCATACTCAATGGACAAAAACTAACGCCATTTCCCCTAAGAACAGGAACAAGACATGGATGACCACTCTCACCACTAACGTCGATATAGTACTTGAAGTATTAGCCATTACAATTAGGCAAGAAGAAGAAATAAAAGGCATCCAAATTGGAAAAGAGGAAGTAAAACTGTCCTTATTTGCAGATGACATGATATTACACATAAAAAACCCTAAAGACTCCATTAAAAAACTGTTAGACTTAATAAATGAATTTTGCAATGTAGCAGGATACAAAATTAACACCAAGAAATCTAAGGCATTTCTATACACCAATAGTGAACTTTCAGAAAGGCAGACTGAAAAAGCAATCCCATTTACCATCGCACCAAAACAATTAAGCTACCTAGGAATAAACTTAACTAAAGAGGTAAAAGACCTCTACTCAGAAAACTACAGGACGTTGAAAAAAGATATAGAGGAAGACATAAACAGATGGTAGAACATACCGTGTTCATGGATTGGTAGAATCAACATCATTAAAATGTCCATACTACCCAAAGCAATCTATAAACTCAACACACTTCCCATTAAAATACCAACGGCATTTTTCACAGACCTAGAACGAACTCTCCAAAAATTCATCTGGAATAAAAAAAGACCCAGAATAGCTGCAGCAATCCTGAGAAAGAACAAAGTAGGTGGGATCTCAAGACCAGATACCATTCTTTATTACAAAGCCACTGTTCTGAAAACTGCCTGGTACTGGCACAAGAACAGACATATAGATCAATGGAATAGAATAGTGAGCCCATAAATTGGCCCCAACCAATATGCTCAATTAATATTTGACAAAGGAGGCAAAAACATACAATGGAGTCAAGATAGTCTCTTCAATAAATGGTATTGGGAAAATTGGACAGATACATGCAAGAAAATGAAACTAGACCACCAACTTACACCATACACAAAAATAAACTCAAAATGAATAAAGGACTTAAATATACGACGGGAAACCATAAAAATACTACAAGATTCCAAAGCCAACAAAATCGAAGTAATTTCTTCACTGATATAGCTCCTAGGGCATTGGAAACTACAGAGAAAATAAAAACAAAAAG